CTTTTTTATTTCTAGATTTCCCGACCTTTCCATGTTTCGTTTTCTCGATGTTTCAATTCTTTCAATTTTTCAATTTTTCGATTTTCCCATTCCGTAATTTCTCGATTTTTCAGTTACACAGTCCTGAAATTTTTCATTTTTTAGGATTTTGTTTTCAATTTTTCAATTTTCTAAATTTTTGGTGTTATCATCTTTTCGATTTCTCGATTTTTCAATTTCATTTTAAGATTTGTCATTTTTTCGATTTTTCGGCTTTTTCATTTATATATTTATCAATATTTCTACATTTCAGTTTCAGTATTTTTCAATTTTCGATTGTTCCGTTTTTGATTCTTCAATTTCAATTTTTGACTTTTCAATTTTTAAACTTTTGATTTTCAATTTTTCGAATTTTCAAATTTTCGTTTTTCTTTTTTTTAAATGTTCGATTTCTCAATTGTCCGATATTTCAGTTTAACGATTTTCCAATTTTTCGATTCATTAGTTCAGTTTTCTATTCTTCAATTTTTCGGTTTTCAATTTTTCGATTTCTTGAATAAAAGATTTTTTGAGTTTTAGATTTCTAAATTTCCGGATTCGATTCTTTATTTTCCCATTGCAAATTCTCTATTTTTCGATTTTTCAGTTTTTCCATTTTCCAATTTTTCGATTTTCAAATTTTCAATTTTCGACTACTCGGTTTTTGAAATTTACTTCGGTTTTACATTTAAAAGTTTTCAGTTATTCGCTTTTTCAATGTTTCGATTTCTCGATTTGTTGTTATTTTAATTTTTGGAGTTTTAAATTTTCCGGTTTCTCAATTTTTCAATTTTTAAAATTTTTGATTATTCAAATTTTTTGTTTTTTCAATTTTTCGATTTAGACGTTTCGATTTATTTATTTTTTTTTTATTTTAAGTTTCACTTTTACAATTTTTAATTTATTTCGAATTCTCGTTTTTTCGATTTTTTTGATATTTCGATATTTCAATTTTTTGATTTTTCAGTTATATAATTCTTCAGTTTTTATATTTTTTACTCCCTAATACGAAAAACAGAAGATCGAAAAGTACAAAACTAAAAAATCGAAAATCTAAAAACGAAAAGTCGATAAATCGAAAATTCATTGAATGAAATATTCGAAAAATCGAAAATAAAAAAAAATGGTAAATTCACCAATTTGAAAAATCAGAAAACCGAAAAATCGAAAATCAAAATGTATAATAATGTAATGTAATATTCGAAAAGTAAAAAAATTGCCAAACGGAAAATTCAAAAAATCAAAAAATCGGAAAAGGGAATATAAAAGAATTAAAAAGTCTAAAACTCGAACATCTACAAACTGAAAAACCGGAAAATTCAAAATTTGAAAATTTGAACTTGAAAAATCTGAAAAGCGGAAAATCGAAAAGCGAAAAATAGAAAAGCAATATAACTGAAGTCTAGCTGAAGAATGGAAAAATTGAAACATCGAAAATCGTTCATCGAAAATCGAAAAATTTTAAAATCCAAAAATTGAAATATCGAAAAATCGAGATTTCAAAAATTAAAAAATCGAAATGAAAAATAATCGAAAAATGGAAAAGTAAATAAATTGCAAAATCTAGATCTAAAAGAAAAATCGAAAATTCAAAAATCCAAAAATCAAAAATTCGAAAAATCGAAAATCGAAACAGATTTTTCAATTTTTCGAATTTTAGATAAATATTTCGATTTTTTGATTTTTCAGTTATACAATTCTTCAGTTTTTCTATTTTTTAGGATTTTGTATTTTAGATTTTTCATTTTTTGCGAAAAATAGAAAATCTAAAAGTGCAAAACTGAAAAATCGAAAATTTAAAAACGAAAAAACAGAAAAATCGAAAGACGATAAATCGAAAATTCACTGTATCATTTATTCGAAAAATCGAAAATAAAAAAAACGGAAATTCACTAATCTGAAAAATCGTAAAAACGAAACATCTGAAATTCAAAAAATCGAAAATTTGAAAAACTGAAAATTGAAACCGAAAAATCGAAAATCGAAATGTTGAAATTCGAAAATTCGTAATGTCGAAAATCCTAAAATCGAAAATTCAAAAGGCAAAAAATGGAACAAAAATCGAAAAATCGAAAAACTGAAAAACCGGAATCTGAAAAACTGAAAATTGAAAAATGGGAAAACCGAAAAATCGAAAATTCAGAAATCAAAAAATGCGAAAAGGAGAATCGAAAAATCGAAAAGTGAAAAACTGAAAACCGGAAAATCCAAAATCCTAAAATTGAAACTTTAAAAATCTGAAAAGCGGAAAATCGAACTGCGAAAAATAAGAAAGTAATAAAACTGCAGCTGAAGAACGGAAAAATTGGAAAATCGAAACTTCTAAGAACCGAAAATCGAGAATGGAAAAATTGAAAAACCCAAAAATTAAAAAATGAAAAACCTGAAAAATCTAAAATCGAAAATTCAAAAATTAAAAAAATCAAAAGGAAAAATTATATAATCGAAAATTGAAAAGTAAATAAATTGCAAAGCCTAAAAACTGGAAAAATCTAAAAATGGAAAATTGAATTTTTTGAATTTTAGGTATTTCGATTTTTTGATTTTTCAGTTATACATTTCTCAAATTTTTCTATTTTCAGGATTTTTTGATTTTGAAAACCGAAGAAATTGAATGCGAAAAATAGGAGATCGAAAAGTACAAAACTGAAAAATCGAAAATCTAAAAACGGAAAAACCGAAAAATCGGAAGTCGATTAATCGAAAATTCATTGAATGAAATATTCGAAAAATCGAAAATAAAAAAAAATGGTAAATTCAGCAATTTGAAAAATCAGAAAACCGAAAAATCGAAAATCAAAATGTTGAAAATTCGAAAACATCGAGTAAAATATTCGAAAAGTAAAAAAAATGCCAAACGGAAAATTCAAAAAATTAAAAAATCGGAAAAGGGAGTATAAAAGAAGTAAAAAGTCTAAAACTCGAAAATCGAAAAACTGAAAATCCGGAAAATTCAAAATCTGAAAATCCGGAAAATTCAAAATCTGAAAATTTGAACTTGAAAAATCTGAAAAGCGGAAAATCGAAAAGCGAAAAATAGAAAAGTAATAAAACTGAAGTCTAGCTGAAGAATGGAAAAATTGTAACATGGAAAATCGTTCATCGAGAATCGAAAAATTTTAAAATCCAAAATCCAAAATAATCGAAAAATGGAAAAATAAATAAATTGCAAAATCTAAAACTAAAAGAAAAATCGAAAATTCAAAAATCCGAAAATCAAAAATTCGAAAAATCGAAAATCGAAACAGATTTTTCGATTTTTTGATTTTTCAGTTATACAATTCTTCAGTTTTTCTATTTTTTAGGATTTTGTAATTTAGATTTTTCATTTTTTGCGAAAAATAGAAAATCTAAAAGTGCAAAACTGAAAAATCGAAAATATAAAAACGAAAAAACAGAAAAATCGAAAGACGATAAATCGAAAATTCACTGTATCACTTATTGGAAAAATCGAAAATAAAAAAACGGAAAACATCTGAAATTCAAAAAATCGAAAATTTGAAAAACTAAAAATTGAAACCGAAAAATCGAAAATCGAAATGTTGAAATTCGAAAATTCGTAATGTCGAAAATCCTAAAATCGAAAATTCAAAAGTCAAAAAATGGGACAAAAATCGAAAAATCGAAAAACTGAAAAACTGGAATCTGAAAAACTGAAAATTGAAAAATGGGAAAACCGAAAAATCGAAAATTCAGAAATCAAAAAATGGGAAAAGGGGATTCGAAAAATCGAGAAGTGAAAAACTGAAAACCGGAAAATTCAAAAGTCAAAAAATGGGAAAAAAATCGAAATATCGAAAAGCCGAAAAACCGGAATCTGAAAATGGAAAAATCGAAAATTCTAAAAACCGAAAATTGAAAAATGAAAAACCTGAAAAATCTAAAATCGAAAATTCGAAAATTAAAAAATCGAAAGGAAAAATGATGGAAACATGCAAAAGTAAATAAACTGCAAAATCTAAAGACTGACGAACACAAAAATCTAAAAATCTAAAAATGGAAAATCGAAACATGAAAGATCAGAAAATCGAAAATTCGAAAAATCGAAAATGAACACATCGCATATTTCAATTTTTCGGTTTCTCAATTTTCTAGTTTTTCGACGATTTAGTTTTGGAATTCAGTTTCGATTCTTCCGTTTTCGATTCTTCAATTTCTCGATTTTTCAAGTTCCCGTTTTTTCAATTTTTTTAATTTTTGAATTCCTAATTTTCCGATTTTTCAAATTTTTGATTTTTTAATTTTTGGAATTCTGCCATTTGGCGATCCTAAATTTTTTATTTTCGATACCTCAAAGTCTCGATTTTTCAGTTCATCAGTTTTTCAATTTTAAGTTTTTTTAATTTTTTATATTTTCGATTTTTCAACTTTTCAGTTTTTCTCAATTTTCCTGTTTTTCGATGTTTCAGTTTTAGGATTTTTAAATTTTGCGATTTTTTTTAATTTTCTCGAGTTCTTAGTTTTTCGATTTTTCTATTTTTTAATTTTTCGAATTTTTTAAATTTAGATTTTAAACACAGGTCGAATATTTAGCACTTGATCATATGATTTCTAAGTAACAATAAATGTGGCAAAACAACCTTAAGTGAGCGTCAATTTCACGCACTGACAGACGAGTCGTTTGATCAATGAATCATTTTATCCAACGTGAAAAAAAATTCACGGCCCACTTTTATCAAAAACCCCTGAACAATTGATAAATAAGTGTCACCCTGTTTGTCAAAACTGTCAATCGCGTTCATTCCCCGCAATGATCCCACTCCACGTGCGCCTCGGTTACAGCGTCCTGGTGTTCATCTGGCTCAACCTGATGCTCGTTTTCAGTAAAAACCACCCATTCCTCCCATTACCACTTTACCATAATTTACCAACTTCCAGTGGTCCTGTACAAGTTAGCCCGCAACGAATCGTGCCACACTTGACCACAACCGCAAAACTTTTGACTTTCTACCATCTAACTCAAAATCAAGAGATGCCCTTACCTCGAGCTGCGCTCCCGATGCCAGACCTCGATGTGCAACCTCCTCTGACAGCCCTCCTGCTGGAGCGGGAACTTGAAGACGTGGTTGAAGAAGGGCTTGGTGGAGTCGGCCTGGACGGCGGTCCGCTGTAGCGTGCCGTTGCGTTTCCTGCGGTTATCTCCAAGTCTATCACTCAGGGCGACCTGCAAGAAACCGGCTATCGATTAGGAGTTAAGCACTAGTTTTCCGATCCAAGGGCTGACACTTGGACGGCTCTAGTGCATGATTTGTCATCACGATTCCACAATAATAACAGTCTCGTCTTTTATGTCGTTTGGATTAGTTTCAGGGGTTTGTGCCAAGGCGGGGGTCGATTATCGAGGATCGATGGTGGAGTAATAATCGTCGTTATACGTAGATATAAACATGTCAAATACATTTATGAAATGACGTTGTATTTTGGTCTAAGTTAAAAAATTGAGGTGAGAATGATTGTGGTTATTATTGAAGGCACGTTGTTTTTCTTTATTTGGGCCTACAAAAAATAACAACTGTTTTTTTGAGTAGGTAACTAATTTATTAAGTTCAAGTATGTTGAAACAACGAACAACCGAAACATGTTTTATTAGACTGAAAAGCCGAAAATAAGAAATAGAAAAATGAAACAATTTAAAAAAACAAAATTATCAGTAAATTTTAATTCAATTTTTCAATTCTTCAGTTTTCGATGCTTCAAGATTTCGATTTTTATTTTCTTCATTTTTTCAGTTATTCGATTTTTCAAAGTTTCAATTTTACAGATTTTTTTAATAAAAGTATGTATTGATAATTAAAATTTTCAAAAATTGTCAATTCTGCGATTTTTCAATTTTTCAATTTCTGAATTTTTGCTGTTTTTTCGATTTTTTAATTTTTTAAGATATGACGTTTCTAAATTTTCGATTTTTCGGTTTCCCGATTAATCGTTTTTTGACTTTCCAATTTTTCGAGTTTTCAATATTTTTTTTAATCTTGGACTGGATTTTTCAATTCATTGTTCTTCGATTTATAATTTCACGGTATTTGGGTTTTTGGATTTATGATGTTATCAATTTTTCCATATTTCACTTTTAAGACTTCAAATTGTCGTAACATTCATTCATTTCTTAATCTTTCAATTTTTCGATATTTGGATTATTCGATTTTTGATTTTTTAATTTTTTGGTGACTCAGTTTTGGATGGTTTCATCTTTCGGAATTTTTAAATTTTCGTCTATTCGAAATTCCTCGTTTTTTTGGTTTTTCGATTTATGGATTTATCGATACTTTATATCTCACTTTAGGATTTCTCAATTTTTCGATTTTTTTATTTCAGAATTTTCCATTTGAAATTTTTCAATGTTTCGATTTCCCGATTTTCGATATTATAATTATTATACCACTGTTTGTCGATATTTGCATTTTTGGACTTCCCGGTTTTAGATTTTCCAATTTTTCGATGTTTAAATTTTTCAGTTTTTCGACTTTTTAAACTTTAAATTTTTCGATTTCTCAATTTCTGGTTTTTTTGAATTTTACATTTTTCCAATTTTTCAATTTTTCGATTTTACGATTTTTGATGTTTCGATTTTTAGATTTGAAATTCTACGAATTCTCGACTTTAGTTTTTCAATCCTTGAAATTTTCGATTTTTCAGTTTTTTTATTTTTCAGTTTTTGGATTTTTTTAATTTTTGATTTTGGCTTTTCGACTTTTCTGTTTTGCGTCTTTTCGAATTCTCGATTTTTCAATTTTCTGATTTCTTAGTCTTTTCATTTTTCGGCCTCTCGGTTTTAGATTTTGCGGTTTTTCAAATTTGAATTCTTAAAACTTGTAATTTTTCGATTTTTCGGGTTTTCGATTTATCGATTTATCAATTTTTCAATAACTCAATTTTTGGGACTCGATTTTTTCGATGTTTTGATTTCTTGATTTCACAATTTTTCTATTTTTCGATTATACATTTTTCGACTTTTTAAATTTTAGAGTTTTCAATTACTTGATTTCTGATTTTACTGGTTCTTAGTTTACGGTTTTTAAAAATTTTACTTACATTTTTCCGATTTTCCGATTTTTGATTTTATTTCCCGATTTTTCAAATTTTCAATGTTTCGATTTTTTGATTCCAAATTTCGCGAATTCTCGACTTTTAGTTTTTCAATACTTGAAATTTTCGATTTTTCATGTTTTCTATTTTTTCATTTTAGATTTATCCATTTGAAATTTTTTAATCTTTCTATTTCTAGATTTTTCAAAATTTCAATATTTTAATTACTCCATTTTTTCTCGATCTCTCCATTTTTGGACTTCTCCGTTTTAGATTTTCTCATTTCTCAATTTATCGATATTAAAATTTTTTTATCATTTGATTTTCCAATTTTCCGGTTTCTTAATTTTTCGATTTTTCGATTTTACAATTTTCCGACTTTTTGAATTTTAGATTTTTCTATGGCTTAATTTCTCGATTTTTTGATTTCAAGTCTACAATTTTTCAATTTTCTTAATTTTACATTTTTCTGATTTTTCAGTTTTTCGATTTTATGATTTTTGATGTTTCCATTTCCCCATTTTTCAAATTTTCAATGTTTCGATTTTTCAAGTTTTTAATTTTTCAATTTTTGGATTTTTAAAAATTTTTGATTTTGACTCTTCAGTTTTTCTTTTCGAATTCGCGATTTTTCGATTTTCTAATTTCTAGGCCTTTTTATTTTTCGACTTCTGGTTTTAGATTTTCCGGTTTTTCAATTGTTCGATATCGCAATTTTAGAGACTCGATTTTTTCGATATTTTGATTTCTCGATTTCACAATTTTCAATTTTTCTATATTTTCATTTTAGATTTTTCCTTTTTGAAATTTTCCAACTTTTCGATTTTTCGATTTTTTAATTTGAAATTTCGCAAATTGTCGACTAGTTTTTCAATCCTTGAAATTTTCGATTTTTCAATTTTTAGATTTTTCAGGATTTTGATTTTTCAATTTTTAATTTTGACTTTTCGAATTCTCGATTTTTCAATTTTCTGATTTCTTAATCTTTTCATTTTTCGGCTTCTCGGTATTAGATTTTGCGGTTTTTCAATTTTTCAATTCTTAAAACTTATAATTTTTTGATTTTTCGGGTTTTCGATTTATCGATTTATCAATTTTTGAATAACTCAATTTTTGGGACTCGATTTTTTCGATGTTTTGATTTCTTGATTTCACAATTTTTCTATTTTTCGATTATACATTTTAGATTTTTCCATTTGAAAATTTTCAATGTTTCGATTTCCCGAATTTTTAAATTATTTTCGATATTTTAATTATTCCATTTTTTCCCGACTTTTCCAGTATCCAACTTCTCAGTTTTAGTTTTTCCGATTTTTCAGTTTATCGATATTTAAAATTTTAAATTTTTCGGTTTTTAAATTTTTCGATTCTTTTCGATTTCTCGGTTTTTCGATTTTCCAATTTTTCGACTTTTTAAATTTTAGAGTTTTCAATTGCTTGATTTCTGTTTTTTATTGGTTTTTAGTTTACGGTTTTTTAAATTTTACTTACGTTTTTCCGATTTTCCGATTTATGATTTTATCTCCCGATTTTTCAAATTTACGTTTCGATTTTTTTATTCGAAATTTCGCCAATTCTCGACTTTTAGTTTTTCAATTCTTGAAATTTCCGATTTTTCAATTTTTGCATTTTTTTAATTTTCAATTTTGATTTTTCGGCTTTTCAGTTTTTCGTCTTATCGAATTCTCGATTTTTCATATTTCCGATTTCTTAGTCTTTTAGTTTTCGACTTCTCGCTTTTAGATTTTCCGGTTTTCTAATTTTTCGATTCTTGAAATTTTTAATATTTCGATTGTTCAGTTTTTCCATTTCTCGCTTTTTGAATTTTAAATTTTTCTATTGCCTAATTTCCCATTATTTTGATTTTTAGTTTACAATTTTTCAATTTTTTGAATTTTACATTTTTCCGATTTTTCAATTTTTCGATTTTTGATATGTTTCCATTTCCCGATTTTTCAAATTTTCGGATTTCTAGGTCTTTTTATTTTTCGACTTCTGGTTTTAGATTTTCTTAAAACTTTCTTAAAAATTTTCCAATTTTTCGGTTTTTTAATTTTTCGATTGTTCAGTTTTTCGATTTCTCGATTTATCAATTTTTCGATATCTCAATTTTTGGGACGCGATTTGTTCGATGTTTTGATTTCACAATTTTTCAATTTTTCAATATTTTCATTTTAGATTTATCCATTTGAAATTTTTCGATTTCTAGATTTTTCAAATTTTCGACATTTTTTCTCGTCTCTCCATTTTTGAACTTCTCGGTTTTAGATTTTCCCATTTTTCAATTTTTCGATATTAAAAATTTTAATTTTTTGATTTTCCAATTTTTCGGTTTTTAATTTTTTCGATTTTTCGATTTTACAGTTTTTCGACTTTTTGAATTTTCTATTGCTTAATTTTCCGTTTTTTGACTTTTAGTTTACAATTTTTCAGTTTTTTTTAATTTTCCGATTTTTCAATTTTTCGATTGTTGATGTTTCCATTTCCCGATTTTCCAAATTTTCGATGATTCGATTTTTCAGGTTTTTGATTTTTCAATTTATGGATATTTTTAAATTTTTGATTTTGAGTCATCAGTTTTTCGTTTTTCTAATTCTCGATTTTTCAAATTTCTGATTTCTAGGTCTTTTTATTTTTCGACTTCGGGTTTTAGATTTTCCGGTTTTTCAATTGTTCGATTCCTAAAACTTTTAATTTTTTGATATTTTCATTTTACATTTTTCTATTTGAAATTTTCTAATTTTTCGGTTTTTAAATTTTTCGATTTTTTAATTTGAAATTTCGCGAATTCTCGACTCAATTTTTCAATCCTTGAAATTGTCGATTTTTCAATTTTTCGATTTTTCAGGTTTTTGATTTTGACTTTTCGAATTCCCGAGTTTTCAATTTTCCGATTTCTTGCTCTTTTACTTTTCGACTTCTCGATTTTACATTTTCGATGTATCAATTTTTCGTTTTTTCAATTTTTGAGATTAGATTTTTTCGATGTTTTGATTTCTTCTTCTTCTAGATTTTTCTGTTTGAAACTTTTAAATTTTTAAATTTTTCGCTTTTCCAATTTTTCGGTTTTTAAACTTTTCGAATGTTCAACTTTTTATTTTCTAGATTTTTCGATTTTTTTAATTTTAGATTTTTCGA